CATAGATTGAAGGAGGCATGCCAGTCCCGCCAGAAACCTTGAATGCTAACTGTGTTGGTAAAGCAGCGACGCATGTCTTCCGGCACGTCGACACCGTCTAGAAGCGACAGCAGCCGGAAGAGCTTCCACACGCAATTAAACTTCAGCCACAGAAATGCAAGCTGCAGGTAGAGCATACTGATCGATGCAAAGAAATTCGAAAAAGTAAGGACATGAATCGCATTCCGCACGGCGTTCACGAACACGAAGTGTAGCATCAAAGTTACCATCGAATACATCACAACGACACGCAGTGCGTAAAAAGCCTTCTGTCGCAGCGACATGGAAACGGTGGGATGGTGGCAGTGTGAGACAAATGCGTTGAAGGAGGACATGGGCCCCGCGATGTACAGGGGCACGTACAGCATGTACGCCAAGTAGCTCAGCAGGTTGTACTCACAGGGGCGGCGTGGGTGCTCCGTGCGGAACTTGTAGCAGCGCGTGGAGTGCGACCGCCCACCGCCTCCCGCCTCCCGCATCTGCGCACACTCCACGCACGTCGTGTCGTGCTTCCGCACAGCCCGCTCCTGCTGCGCCGCGCCGTCGTTGATCGCCTCGTAGAGGTCCATGTTGAACGCAATCATGCGGAGGGTGTACATGTTGAAGACAACCACCCAACGCAACCTTTGCGGCCACCACTCTTCGGACGTCAGAACGTATTTCGACGCGATGTGATCACCGTACCAACTATTGACGAATATCATTGCAATCTGCGAGACCCACATCACCGTCATGAACAATCGGTACGGCATCCGGCAGCGCACGGCATACACAGCAAAAACGTAATTGGCCAGTGCGAAGAGAAGCGGCACGAAGAACGACGGACCGTGGAGGAATGCGACAAAGCCCAACCCAACAACAACATGGTAGCGTTGCAACACTGTGGATTCCTTGCTCCCGCGGAATGCCCATCGAATGAACCAGGACCCCATCGCAAAGCACATGTAGAAGATAACAAGGAGCCACAACCACTTGTCTAGGTGACGCCATTGCCCATCACCCGAACCATTGTAGCCAATGGAGTAAAACGGTGCTTGCTTCAGCACCTTCCACCGCGGGGCCTCAACACCCAAGCCGGGGCTGTGCATGCGCGATGCCTCCGAGACGACATGGAACATGTAATACAAAAGGCCTAACATATAGGAGGTACACACAATGTACTCCAAGGAGAGCCGTGACTGCACAAGAGTGCAACTATCCTCAAGAGGCTGAGTTCGTTCCTGAGCGGGTGGTGGTTCTTTCGACGGCACCTCCACAAAAACAGCCAGTGAACTGTTCCCGTTCTCTGGTGCAGAATGCATTTTGCAGTTCACCGTAGACATCAGAGATCTCGAGGTATAATGCACCGCAGATTTATAGAGGCGGAAAAAGGGGGGCCAAAAAAAAGAACACTTTCTGAATATTGCTTCCTACGTGAATACGTGTATAATTGTGCTGTATAGGACAATGAAAAGAAAACTAAAAGAACCACGCCAGTCGACGCTCTACGTCCAGAGGCTGCGGACGGTGAGCCTACCCCTCTGGTGCGACTTGCTACAACGCACAGATGCAAAGAACAAAAGAAAAAGGAGTGAAGAAGAGGCAAAAATGAAAGACAAAAATGTACCTAATAGGTGGACTACAGCGTCCCAGTCGCAGGGCGAAACACCTACACAATTCTTCTGTGAATAGTGTCCCTTATCTCCCACTTTGTCCCGTGAGCCTCCACCGTTTGCGGTAATGATGATTCATGATGGCGAGAACACCCCACTGCGTGCGCGCCCGCAGGTGAGCGTGTTCGAGGACTCCCCATCGCTTCACTACTCACTGCGCCCTCGCCTCTTCATGGCGTGTCAGGGACCCGTCTAGCATTCCGCACCTGAACGCCTTCTCTAACATACATGGCGACAAAAAATTGTGGGGTTGGGAGAGTATCGTCGCTAGCAGCGGCAACACACCGACTCCTTCCGGCAGTGGCCCATCTTCGTTAAGCAGAATGTCAGCGAACGCGTTGCTCTGCATGAGTGCGTTGCACGCCAGAGAGGACGCTGACGCGGTGCCGTTCCGCTGAAGCGCTGCAAGCGGCGCGAGGGACGGCAGGATCCGCTGGGCCTGGCGCGTGCTCTGGATGTGCAGGGAGGCCCACACGTGGCGCGGCACACCGGCGCTCGCAAAGACGCGGCGACCAAACATGCAGCACAACAGTGCAATCTGTGCGGAGACTCACTACAGCAACAAGACAAATACGAAAAGAAAACCATTGAAAGACAGCAGTGTTACAGGTGTACGCGTGCAAGGCTCCCCTGCTTACTGTGTGTCCACGGGCGTATGTATGCATGTATGTGTGGGCGTGCCCTTCTCGAGACAACATAAACACAAAGCAGAAAGACACCACCGAAAAAGAAAAAATCGTGTGGGTATATATATATATACTTCCGTTCACTACACAAGGGACGCCACACTTCTTACTGAAAAACAACAACAAAAAACAAAAAAAAAAGAAACAAGACAAAAATGACATGGCCTATGTTTTACTTTTTGACGCATAAACCCAACCGCATTTGTTCACGGCGAAGTTGTTCCTCCCCATCATCGCGGTGTGCGAACCCGACATGCGAACAACAACAAAGAAATAAAAAGTACAAGGAGAGAAAAAGAGGGTTTAGATTACCCAAAATATAGAGGAGCACTATCGGCTTGTGCGAGTCAGAGTATCCATAGAGAAGCTCCCCATTAAACCCAATCATACAGGCAACGACCAAACTAAGGTGACTAAGCGCACCTGCCGCATTGCGCAGCATCGAGTAAACCAGTGGACTATTATTCTGAATTAGAGTGGTGCATCGATGAGTGGCGACGTAGCGAAGAAGAAAAAGCTCTACAAGAAGACACATACAGACACCCAAAGCCCAATGCAGCAAGTGAATCTCAATATCGTGCCATATCGCAATAAAGAAGAAAATGGGAAATATGCTGAAATGCTTTTTCCTACTTCCACCCATCGGAATGTACATGTAGCGTACGATCCATAGATTGAAGGAGGCATGCCAGTCCCGCCAGAAACCTTGAATGCTAACTGTGTTGGTAAAGCAGCGACGCATGTCTTCCGGCACGTCAATGCCGTCCAGAAGCGACAGCAGCCGGAAGAGCTTCCACACGCAATTAAACTTCAGCCACAGAAATCCAAGTGTCAGGTAAAGCACAATCGCCCGTCTCGAAAAGGAAATGGAGGAAAACACCGGCTCACCAAGAAGTATGGCTATAATGTATACGTAGTGGGCCAATATGATGAGCAACAAGAAATTGGCCACAGTACGCACAATGTACCGTTTCAAACCCACGTCATCAAGCGCCCGCGTAGGCTTATGTAAATGAGAAACATAGGCGTTAAATGACGACATTGGGCCTGCGATGTAGAGCGGAGGGTAAAACAGATATCCAAAATAACTTAGAATGTTATACTCGTGAGGGCTGCGTGGGTACTCTGTGCGGAACTTGTAGCACCGCAAACTCTCTGCGTCCAAACTGAATGGCACCGAGCCGCCATCCTTCCGCGCATACGCCTCCCGCATCTGTGCACATTCAATGCATGATGTGTCATGCTTCTGCAAGGCCTTTTCACGTCTCTCAGCACAAGAAACAATGGCTTCATGCATATCAGTGTTAAAGGCAATCATGCGTAGTACGCTCATGTTGTAGTGAACCGTCCACCGCATAAAAGGTTCCCACAATGAGTCGAGAAATCTCAAACCAAACCAAGCAAACCTATATCCATCAAAATAGTGATTGATGAATAGAAAAGCGATGTGCGCCACCCACATCACCGTCATGTACGCTTTGAAAGGAAGTTTGTCGTGCAGTTTCACGATACCATAGTAGTTCCCCAGAAAGAGAAGAATAGCAAAGGCGAAGCGGGGCCCACTAATACCAAATCCGAGGAGCATCCCTGTGACCACGTGCAAAATATACAGCGACGACACCCCCGAACCATTCTCACGCTGACGAAGACGAAGACGAAGACGACGCGAGATGTAAATAAATAAACCAAATAGCGGTAAAACGACAGGGAGTGCACGTGTGAGGCTGTACCACTGCCGATCCGTTACGTCCATTCCTTTCGAACCTAAACAGCAGAAGGGTGGCCACGGCGGCTTCAGATTGTGCTCCAGAACATTGTAATTCTCACGCGAAACCTTCCCAATATCGTAAGCGCCAAAATACGCAGCGGCCAGGATGAGAGTTCCAGCGCAGAACATGTATTCAAATGAGGATTTGCTCAGGTAACTCGGCGCCACTGTGTCGTGGCTACCTCCTCGCTGGCGCGAAGGGGGTCCATTCGATGTTGTCTGTACCAATCCCTGCATACTATTATACATATACCCCTTTGTTGCTATATATATATATATATATATATGCAGTGGTAACAATATTAAAAAAAAAAAGACACTCTCTCTATGATGTTAAAATAGCTGCCGGACTCCTGCTGTTCCCCACCTTCAATTAGGTGAAAAGCCAAATAGAAGCAAGGGGAAGGAATAATAAAGAAAGAGTCGATCTCTCCTCCGCTTCACTTTTCTAAAGTACCGGAACCAAGCAACCATGGCCGGAGGCAATATTGTTCTGGCCCTTTCCCAGTGAGAAGGAAACGGGATTATCGAGGCAACGACCGCTTTTAGATTTCTCAACACAAACGCAAAACACAATTTGGGCGTACATGGGCTCAGCCACACTCTGGTACTTTCCACCACCAGAGAGAGAGAAAGAGAGAGAGAGAGAGAGAGAGAAGCATTCGGTCTCATTCGACGAGGCCGTACCGCTTTTTAAGCCGCTTTACATTTACCGCCTCAACATCACGGTTGATCACACCGGTCACCGCCACACAGTACAATCCCACTCCTACAAGAACGCAAAAACTCAGAAAATCGGAGTGCGAATCATCGACAGTTTCGTGCTCCGTGCTGCGCCCCTGGTTTGATTCATTCCGAGAAGAAAAGCCAATCACATTGGCAACAATAAGACCGAAAACGGTAAAAACACCGCCAATAGAGCGCAGATGGCGCTCAAAACGGGAGCGGCGCAGATGAGAAAATCGTGGAGAGTTCCATGCTGCACTCACAATCAGTTCCAAGACAAATATTGTGACGACGCACATTGCCCATTTCAACAGGTAAAATGCAACATCGTGCCATATCGCAATAAAGAAGAAAATGGGAAATATGCTGAACTGCTTTTTCCTACTTCCACCCATCGGAATGTACATGTAGCGTACGATCCATAGATTGAAGGAGGCATGCCAGTCCCGCCAGAAGTCGCGAACGCTCACAGTATTAGTGAAGCAGCGACGCATGTCTTCCGGCACGTCAATGCCGTCCACGCACGCCGCAAGCCGGCTCAGCTTCCACACCAGACTGAACTTCAGCCACAGAAATCCAAGCGAAAAGTACAGCAGATACCCTTTTTGAGGAACACTCAACTCCAAAAAGTACTTCGGGTGCTGACGGAAGCCATTGACGAACAAGAAATGTAGCATGAACACCAGAACTGTGTATATCATGAGCACACGCAGTGCATAAAGAACCTTCTGTCGCAGCGACATGGAAACGGTGGGATGGTGGCAGTGTGAGACAAATGCGTTGAAGGAGGACATGGGCCCCGCGATGTACAGGGGCACGTACAGCATGTACGCCAAGTAGCTCAGCAGGTTGTACTCACAGGGGCGGCGTGGGTGCTCCGTGCGGAACTTGTAGCAGCGCGTGGAGTGCGACCGCCCACCGCCTCCCGCCTCCCGCATCTGCGCACACTCCACGCACGTCGTGTCGTGCTTCCGCACAGCCCGCTCCTGCTGCGCCGCGCCGTCGTTGATCGCCTCGTAGAGGTCCATGTTGAACGCAATCATGCGGAGGGTGTACATGTTGAAGACAACCACCCAACGCAACCTTCGCTGCCACCAGGGTGCAGACGTCAGAACGTATTGCGACGCGATGTGATCACCGTACCAACTATTGACGAAGAGCATTGCAATCTGCGAGACCCACATCACCGTCATGAACAATCGGTACGGCATCCGGCAGCGCACGGCATACACAACAAAAACGTAATTGGCCAGTGCGAAGAGAAGCGGCACGAAGAACGACGGACCGTGGAGGAATGCGACAAAGCCCAACCCAACAACAACGTAGAATTTCATAAGGGCAAGGCCTCCACACTTTCGGAACAAACGCGAGACGAGTGCAAACAACAACAATACGGGTACAAAGGGCACCGCAATATTGCTGAAATTTCTCCACTGATCGTCGGTGGAGTCGTAGCCGACGGAACCGATAGCACTAAAGATTGAAAGGGGCTCCTCTACCATTGGGATTTTCTCGTAGTTTTCACGCGATACCGCTCCAGCAGCTATAAACATTGCACCAACGGAAACGAGAGCGTAGCACCAATGCACTGCATAAGCCAATCGCCACCTCATTGAATGGACTATTGGTGCTGCCCTTGGCGCCGAGGACGTAGGAGAATTGTGGGACACTAACCGTCCGTTTGAGAAACTGGTGTGGACTGATACTCCTATTGTGTCCGACGTGCTGCAGTCACCACTGTGATGACGTGCGGTTGAACTTGTATCATGCTTTTCGTTGGAAAGCAAAACTGACTTATCCATTCCTTCTTCGTGTGTGTGTGTGTGTGTGTGCGGTCTGACTAGAAACACTACAAGAACTCTCTATATAGCTTTTGATAAGCATTCCAAACCGGAAAGGAATGAGAAAACATGATAATCCTCATGCAACTCCAACAAAGGAAGAGAAACCAACAACAAGCCGTCTCACGTTTTGTGGGCACATACATAACTAAACACCCAAAAATACTTATAAAAAAAAGACAGTGATTTGGATGGTCTAAACATCTAGTTGTTTCTATGGACCTCACATCAAATGTATGTATGTATATGTCTATGTACTACAATATAAATAAAAAAATATATATATATGTTTATGTGCACATGCTTGATGCTCATTAAGGCATATCTCTGTTTCTAAGCGACATTCCTATGCACTAATTTTGCTTCATCATTCTTCCTCCCTTTTCCGACTGTTGCCCAATTAGCCAGCAGACAGAAACATCAAAACATCAGTAACAACAAAAACCTATTCAGCTGTGGTTCTGTAGGATGCAGTCCACTATAAACTCCGCGATGTAGTTGTCCAGCACCGTGCCACACGCGGCATCAACCACCCACCGCCCCGCCTCCTCGCTGGCGGGCGTCAGCTGCAGCAGCAGATCCTCGTAGCAGTCCACCTCGGATGCAATCCACTCAATAAAACGCACAGGCGGTGAAGCTGGAGTGAGAGGCATTGCAGTTGTGTTGTCGGAGCGTTCAAATAGTGAAGACCAACACACCTCGGGCTGCGCCGCGGCGTACGCCTTTGCCACGCAGGAGGTGCTTGTTGGTGCCGCCCGCAAACACTCACGACGCCTGTCAGCCTTCGCCGCCTCCCATGCGAGAAACTCCTGCAGTTCGGGCTCCAGCGGACGGCTGGCATGTGGTGAGGGCAACAGTGGTGCATCTTCACGTGTTCCCCGCGAAACCTCCGCGTCGAGGTGGTTGACGAAGAATTGCATCAGACATCGCGTCACATCTTGCTGCTCGTTATATTCGTCAAGAACATGCTGCGCCGTCGCGGCGTTCTCCTCGTGTGGTCCACGGCACAAGGGGCTGTAGGCATTACTTGCCGGCCCAGCCCACACACTATCGCTACTGGCGCTTGCCACAGTGTGCACCTCCTCCGCACACACAACGGGGAGACTCGGCTGCTCCACTGGCGGCGAAAATGGCGTGCACACCTCCGGTGAGATGCCCTGAGACTCGCAGTGGCTCTGCGGTGTGAACGAGGAGGTAGTAGATGACATTGGCGGAATTCCCTTGCTGTGAAGAGGAAATGGGCCGACTCCCTCAGCTGGCTCGTCTCCGTCGCTCTCGTCCACTTCAATCTCAATCACGCCTGCAGCCACTGCAGCAAGAGAGGGGCTGCGGCTGATGTGTGTACTCGGTTGCGTGTCCGTTGCTGTGGCGGTGGGCGCCTCCCTTCGCCGCCATGCCGACCTGCCTGACGTCCTCGAGCACGACTGCAGACGAGCGGCGTATTGAGACTCCAAGAGTGCCAGACGCTTCTCGTGACTTCGCGCCGCGTTTTCGCGACTTCTCTCTAGAAACAACTGGAGGGCTTCATAATCCACTACACCGCCGCGCAGTCCTTCGTCATCTGATGGGCCTCCTCGCATCTCACA